CCTCACTGGATCTGAAAGCACGTTGTCTTCCACAGTTCTTCTGCATGCTGTTCAGACTTTTCAGAGAAACAGGAGTGGATATATGCATCAATGAAAATGTACAAGATGATTTTTAGTACAGAAACCTGTAAGAGTTGCTGTAATTTTTGTATAAGAATGTGCATTTGTGATGGTGAACACACATCTTTGAACACTAACTCTTGTCTCATGTGATTAAGGCCTCGCTTGTGAAGAAATGTAAGATCCTAAAAATGGGAATACATTAATCCACATTCTAAAATACTAGGTGGTAAAACAATGAAGAGACATGCAGTTACTCAGTGTACCCAGGAGATAGAGCCAAAAAGCACGAGATAATCCTGGTGAATGTAGAGGTAAAGTGTTAGTTTGAAACCACAGTATTCACATGGTTAAACAAACCCATGTAATGTGATATGGTCTTCAGAAATAAAATGGCTAACTGCTTGCTTACCAGGTATGCTTTTTTTAGTTTCTGTTGCCAGCTTGTGTTGTTTGGAAGGTTAATTATTTGCTATGATCTCAAGAATCTTTTTGAGATGAAGAACAAACATGAAAGCAGCAGGATAATGGGATAAATCAGGCCTTTTGTGCCAAACAAACATAGCTAATGTTAGCTACATCAACTGACAGTGGGTGTAAACTAAAAATTGAGGAGTATAAAAGTAAGTTGATGAGACCGGCTATGCGCCCAGCCAGTCGCATTTAGGTAATCTGAAATGGCGCATAATGTAAAATTGTATAATTTTCTGGTTTTGCATCCGTCCAATTTGTTGCCCAAACATTTTTCACTCACTACAGTCTGTTACATAACACCATTTCACGTCCTATTCAGCAAGTCTAAATTAGTACTGCTGCTATTGATTTTCTGGATGCAGTGAAAGGTACAAGATGCCCCACCTGTTGAGACACAGCGTAGTTTGTCACTAGTGTTCATTTTATCCAACTGGGACAAATTGATTGATTTAGTTGTGGCACAGAATCTGTCCATTACATCAGTTTTCAGTCAAACTGTAGGACTTAATTCCTGCTGCCACTTCATCAAACATCTGATAAAGAAAAAATGAAGACAAATGTCATTTTCCACGTGTCCATTCACTTTAGAGGTAACTACAGTGTCCAAAACAACACATTGTTCAATTAAACGACAAAGCCTAGACCAATAGAAACAACACAAAAGAAAGTGTCAATCCTTTACAAATGTGTAGAAAGGAGAGAGTTTGTTTCACAATACAATATTGCTTCAGCAGCTTTGTTAGCATTCTTCCTGACGGTTGATTGAGTGAGGACAGACTGCGTCACAAACAGACATTCTTCCTCATAAGAGACAGCTTCCTTCCTCATAAGGTAGTCTTCTACATTTCTACATATTCTTAAAAGCCAGTGAATTAGTCATTTGTGTTTATCCCGTTATTCCTTTGACCACTTTTTTGTTTCACATTCTTACTTTTACTTCTTATGTTTATATCGACATCTTTATTATATTTTTGATCTATATTTATTTCTATGTTTTCTAAAATGGAGCAACTGTGATTTCCTCTGGGACAGTATTCTGATTGATCATTTAACACTTTAAAACATGGCAGCAATGTTATATGTTTATTTTAACAGTATCCATCCTGCAAGGGTCTAATTATCAAATGTGGTGTTGATAGCTGAAAACCAAAAGAAAGTCTACACTACTGTATTTACAAGCCATTCATACGATGAGCTGGCTGTGTCAAATGTTCAGACATCATTCAAGTTGGATTTCAGCATATATATATATATTTCTTTTACCTTTATTTAACCAGGATAGGTCTCATTGAGATTAAAATTATCTTTTTCAAGAGAGTCCTGGCCCAAGAATGGTTACAGCACAGTTACAGACAATTTTAACACACAATCACAACACAATCATACACCAAGTTTAGCCAAAGCATTTACAGACACAGCGGCCAGCTTCAATGTCAGTTATAGTAGCTTTTAGTCTGTTTAATGAGACCAGCTCTCTGAGTTTCAGCTCAGTTTGAAGCTGGTTCCATGCTTCAGGAGCAGCGTAACTGAACGCCCTCTTCCCCAGTTCAGTACGGACTTTTGGTACAGTTAAAAGGAAAAAGTCCTCGGAGTGAAGCCGATAAGATCCTGTGCATTTTCTGTTAATGTAGATCCTTAGATAAGGAGGAAGAGCACCAAGAATAGCCTTATATATATATAAGGATGTGCCAGTGTATCAGTCGACGCGTGGTCAGGGAAGACCATCCAACACGAGCGTATAGGTTGCAGTGGTGCGTCAAGGTTTTGAGGTTTGTGATGTTTGTCAGTGCACCATGGTAGACGGTATCCAGCGAGTGAAGGCACTGAGAAGATGCATTCATATAAACCACATCTCCATAATCCAGCACAGACAGAAAGGTTGCAGACACTAGTCTCTTTTTGGCCTCATAAGAAAAACAGGACTTGTTTCTAAAGAAAAAACCTAATTTTATTCTTAGTTTTTTCAAAAGTTTCACAATGTGTGGTTTAAAAGAAAGCGAATTTATATACCACTTCTGCCGCAGGCACTTGTTTTGTTTAAAACCATAGAAGTTGAGATTGCTTTCTCTACCACAGAAAATGTAGTAGAAAAACACATTGTGAACTTCAATTGATAGTATGATATATGGTTTTAGTTTCACCTTCCATTGCAAGAGGCTAAAGATTAGGATCAAGAGAGTTACACAGAGTAAATGCCATGTTTTGCAAACTGTTAAAGCCACAGATAAAATCTTATTCTACTCTTTGTGTTTACCTTTCTCTCTTACCACAGTGGCTCTGGATTAACTCTGCAATGCAGCGTACCAACACAGGTCCATTTAATGTAGAGATGTTGGACTACTTGGTTCTGAGGTCAGTGAGTCAATTCTCTATTTGGACAAGAAAATATGTGTGATCAAATCATGCTTTAAAGTTTGCCGTCTTACTAAGATTGAAAGAATAAATCCTAATGCAATCATTTAAATTGACTGTAGTTACAGCTCAAAGGCTCTTCTCTGGTAAAACTAACCATGCCATCATTTCAGGAATTAGGAAAGCATTAAAACTTGCATGGCAGGCTTTTTTGGCAGATAATTTTTAACAACAAACATCTGAAGTTGTACAGTAATATTATTTCTAGAGTGTATGTCTTTTAAAAATGGACCTTGATGATGATGATGATTACCTGACAAAATGTTGACTTGCCTTAAATACTTTAATGTATGAAACATCAACCAGAAAACATGCATGCAATGCCACTAAAGCATACATCCCTCTACTTCTAATAGATAGATAGATAGATAGACAGACAGACAGGCAGACATACATACATACATACATACATACATACATACATACATACATACATACATACATACATACATACATACATACATACATGCATACTTTATTTATCCCAAGTTGGGAAATTGTTTAAAACTGTAGGATTGTGGATCATTTTCCCTGCTGTTGGATGCTTTAATAGCACAGTTTAAACCTTTTTGGAGTACATTATTTTAGTAACTTTTGTGTCCTAACATGACTGTGGACATACATTTAATCCGTTCTGCTGAGAACAATGGTAGAACAATATTAATCAAGTTCACTTCCTGCTGGGTTGTTTTAAAATGTTACATAACTTAGGTTGAGGTCCTTACCTTTTGTTGAGATTCTTTGTATTGTCTTTCTATTGAAAGACAAGAAAAGTTATTATCAGTGATGAGTTATAGAGTCAAGGTAGTGGAGGAAAGGTTTTTGTTGAAACTCTGGATGACGAATTTCTTCATGTTATGTTTTGATATGAAAAAGCTGCAGCTGAACCACTGATCTTGCCTAACCAACCCAATATCCGGTTTGAATGTATATATTTCTTTTATTATGATAAATAACACCATTGTTTTTCGGATGGGTTGAGAATAGACTGTTTTGGATAAATTGATAGGGAGAAAAAAAGGTACATTTTGATAATTGATCCATTGTCAATATGGCACAAAATGCTGTTTATACTGCTTTTATCTGTTTTGTATCTAATTATATTAACATCTTTACGTTTTAGACAGACACAAAAACAAATGTAAAGACATCGCCAAGGGCTTTGAGAAAAAGCGATTGACATTTTTCACTTTTTTCTGACATTTTATTGACAAAAGGATTAATGGATTAATAGAGAAAATAATGTTGCAGTTTAATCAACTATGAAAGTAATCCTTAGTTGCAGCCCTATTTTGGGCGTACTAAGCAACTATGATTAAAGCATGTAGTAATTATTGCAACTGATATCATACTGTAGATACAGTATGCTTTTTAACCTCTGGCATTTAAGTGGGATGAGTAGCCTTAATGCTACGTCACGTCATTAGCAGGACAATAGCTAGACAGCAGTGTCAAAACAAGGATGGAAGTGAACTCTGAAATACCCTTTTCATCTACACCAAGTTGGCCAAGGTGATGAAATACATAATGCAGACATTGACAACAGACAGTTTAGTCACATCTTGTAAGAATGTTCCACTGCTGTCGATTTTTCAACTACAAACATGTTCGGTCTGTACCTTATCTGCGTTTGCAAAAGTGTAATTTAAGGGAACACAAAAGAAGCGTAGCAGCAATAGATATTTATTCAGATCTATTGGACTGTGAAAGGGGAAGTTCGGTCTTCAAACCACTCATATTCCAATTTGATATCAAATTGTTTTAATTGTCAAATAAAATTGGAGTAATAATCTTTACTTTGTTTTAATCTAGTTTTTCACTAATAAAACAACTATCCTCATTGCAGATTAAACTGTTACAGTTAAGGGACTTATAGTCAGGACAGTGGCCTCTTAGCTCTGTATAAAAGGACATTCATGGATCATCGTATAGTCATTTATTCACAAAAGTTGAGCAATACAAACAAGGAAACTGTAACTCTTTTAGATGATGTGGGGGGTGCTTGATAGGAGGGGCACGTGTCCCGGCAGGTGACAGGTCAAAATGAGTATATAAAGAGTGACAAACAGGAGTCTAGCAGTCACACAATGGCTTCAGGAAAGTGGATCTGTGTGTTGACTTTTTGCATTTTAACTGCAGGTAAGTCACACTTACATTTGAGGATAGGCCTTATTGAAAAAAAGGTCTTAAAATGATTTAACTTACTATTAACATGATTTTTAAAGCTTTCTGAACTGTTTGTTACCATTATCTTGTGATTAAGGAACATCCATTTCAACTGATGAGTATTTTAGATGTGAACAGTATGATTTGAAAACCTTAAATTGTAAATTTAGATTAGCCTACAATAAAAACATATGAATAGCTAGATGCTTATCATGATGAAATAGTAATAAGTAGACATTTTACCACTGTAATGTATTTTCAGGTTTCCTCTAAAAGATGTGCCCGACATTTTGTAGTTTGGTATCAATTTCTGTAATTTCCATGCATTTTTTTTACCCCAAAAGTATTTTCTGTGGCATTGTAAATCATTTTGAAATGCCAACAAGTGCTATATAATTAAAGAATGGAATATATATATATCAAAAAATGGCAAGATCTTTAATGAAGAGACATACTTTAGGACTTTCTTAATTGATAAATCAGATTATCATTTTATAGTCTTTTGAATAAAAGTTATACAATTTAAAATAAAAATGACTATAACTTTATCTGTTTAGCTCTGAAGTTAGTTCATCAGTAAAAGATAACTCCATACATTACAAATTGTAATGTTTTATTTTAGAGATGCATTATTTGACAGTGGTACATAAACATGACTATAGAATACTTTTTTTGTGTGTTTGCCTTATACTGTAATACCCAGTATTTTCCAATTGATAAAAGTCGATTTTTTGTTCTCTTTCCCAGAATCACATGCTCAGCTTGATGGTGAGTTCAATATTTAATGATATAAATTTAATCAGTTTAATTATCTGGATTACCGCATCTTCTTATTTAGGCATTTTTAAAGTTAAACTAATTGGATTTTCTAACTTTTTAAATACACAAACAAAAACTCTAAACTGACTTTGTTTCTAAAGTATTGCCATAATGATCTGTTTTCCAGTATGTGGCACTACTCCACTCAACACCAGGATAGTTGGAGGTGAAGACGCTCCAGCTGGAAGTTGGCCCTGGCAGGTTAGTCTGCAGAGATTCGGCAGCCATGTTTGTGGTGGATCCCTCATCAACAGAGAGTGGGTGATGTCTGCTGCTCACTGCTTCTCCAGGTGGGTAACTGTGTAAAGTAATAAAAGATCAAATGTTCATTGTCTCTGACTACGGTTATCCTTTTAGTCTATGTTTCTCCAAAGCCAACACAAGTTTTTGTCATTTTCAATTTAGTGCGGATAACTCAGGATGGCGGGTTTCTCTGGGCCGTCAGAACCTGCAAGGCAATAACCCAAATGAAGTGTCCAGCACTGTTGCTGAGATAGTGTTGCACCCAGCTTATGACAGTGACACCAGCAACAATGACATAGCTCTACTCAGACTCTCATCACCAGTCAAATTCACAGACTACATCAGACCTGTGTGTCTGGCAGCCGGTGACAGTGTGTTCAACAGCGGCACTGATAGCTGGGTCACGGGCTGGGGTGCAGTCAAGGAAGGAGGTGAGTCTGCTTGTTGCTGACAAAGAGTTTGGTTTCATTGTCTTTATAAACCGTAGATGGATTTGTGAGTAATCTCTCTTGTTATTGTTCTCTCAGAGTCATTACCGTTCCCTGAAACCCTTCAAGAAGTGGAGGTGCCAGTTCTGGGAAACAGACAGTGTAACTGTCTCAATGGAGTCGGTACAATCACAGACAACATGATCTGTGCTGGTCTTCTGGCAGGAGGCAAAGACTCATGTCAGGTAGGCGGCTTCCTTGAATCTGTGACTTGTTGGTAAAATGTGTTGAGGAAATGCTCAGACGTCTCCTTCAAATGTTCTCAGGGTGACTCAGGAGGTCCAATGGTGAACCAGCAGGGCTCCGTCTGGGTCCAGTCTGGAATTCTTAGTTTTGGTTTTGGCTGTGCTCGGCCCAAACTTCCAGGAGTCTACGCCAGAGTGTCCAACTACCAGTCCTGGATCAACTCCCACATCAAATCTGATAAGCCAGGCTTTGTCCAGTTCAGCTCCAGTGGACTGGATGCTGATAACAGCTACACCTGTCCTGGTCTGCTACCTCCTCCTGTCACTGCAACTATTACTACTGCAGAACCAGGCACTGCTACTGACCCAGGATTCACAGAATCAAGTGCTAAATGTAAGTATCCTGACTACTGCAGTACTCTAATATGCTTGCAATTTCCAGCAGATCAGCTGCAATAGGAGTTCACTGTAGGGTGCCCGTAGGCTCTGTGCTGTGACCAGGTCCCTTTTTCATTGACATGCTCCCTCTTGGCCAACTTCTTTAACGGCATAATATCAGTGTCCATTTTTATTCAGACGATACTCAGATCTATCTAAGCTCTAACCATTCAAAGACTATAAGAACACTCTCCATGCTAAACTTGCTTCAGGACATTGCGAGAATTAGATCCGATGTCTCTGACTGGTGTGATTCAGTATTAAATGAAAATATTTGGCCCAAAATGTACGGATGGTTCTCGCTACGAACTGACTTCCTGCAGTTATCGCCTTGACTTTTCGGTTGACTTTACAGTTTATCAGTTTGTTTGGTACTGTTATTTGTACCAATTCCTCCTTTGTGCAGTGTGTGGCATCACTCTCCTGAATACCAGGATAGTTGGAGGTGAAGACGCTCCAGCTGGAAGTTGGCCCTGGCAGGTTAGTCTGCAGAGATTTGGCAGCCATGTTTGTGGTGGATCCCTCATCAACAGTGAGTGGGTGATGTCTGCTGCTCACTGCTTCTCAAGGTTTGTTACTATAATATTATACAATGTACACTATCTCGGTCTATGGTTATACTTTAGTCCATGTTTTGCCTAAACCCAACACAACTTCCTGTCATTTTAATTTCAGTGAGAGTACGTTGAGATGGCGGGTTTCTCTGGGCCGTCAGAACCTGCAGGGCAATAACCCAAATGAAGTGTCCAGCACTGTTGCTGAGATAGTGTTGCACCCAGCTTATGACAGTGACACCAGCAACAATGACATAGCTCTGCTCAGACTCTCATCACCAGTCAAATTCACAGACTACATCAGACCTGTGTGTCTGGCAGCCGGTGACAGTGTGTTCAACAGCGGCACTGATAGCTGGGTCACGGGCTGGGGTGCAGTCAAGGAAGGAGGTGAGTCTGCTTGTTGCTGACAAAGAGTTTGGTTTCATTGTCTTTATAAACCGTATATGGATTTGTGAGTAATCTCTCTTGTTATTGTTCTCTCAGAGTCATTACCGTTCCCTGAAACCCTTCAAGAAGTGGAGGTGCCAGTTCTGGGAAACAGACAGTGTAACTGTCTCAATGGAGTCGGTACAATCACAGACAACATGATCTGTGCTGGTCTTCTGGCAGGAGGCAAAGACTCATGTCAGGTAGGCTGCTTCTTCGAATCTGTCACTTGTTGGTAAAATGTGTTGAGGAAATGCTCAGACGTCTCCTTCAAATGTTCTCAGGGTGACTCAGGAGGTCCAATGGTGAACCAGCAGGGCTCCGTCTGGGTCCAGTCTGGAATTGTTAGTTTTGGTTTTGGCTGTGCTCGGCCCAAACTTCCAGGAGTCTACGCCAGAGTGTCCAACTACCAGTCCTGGATCAACTCCCACATCAAATCTGATAAGCCAGGCTTTGTCCAGTTCAGCTCCAGTGGACTGGATGCTGATAACAGCTACACCTGTCCTGGTCTGCTACCTCCTCCTGTCACTGCTGCAACTATTACTACTGCAGAACCAGACACTGCTACTGACCCAGGATCCACAAAAAGCGCTGAATGTAAATGTTCTTTCTCAAACCTTCACATAAACTCAAGTTTCCATTATATTATCCAAAATGGTAACCTGTCTTGTATTTCAGACACTTCCACTGTTCTCTTTTTACATGAAGAGCTTTTTTTGTTGACACCACAAGTTTCATAAAATGATATATATAAATATGCAATTAAAGCCAAATTTAACTTAATATGTTTCCAGCTACTGCAATACCTACGACAACCCCAAGTACTACAACATAAACTGTAACCACTCCTTCACGGGAGTGTCCTGATTTTTTTATTATTAAATAATTCAAATAAAATCATACACATTTGGGTTTATTGGGGGAGACACTACAGGTTAATAAAAACATAAAAAAATAGGTATATCCATTAATTGTCAGTTGATTTCTTAACATTAGTCAATCATTTTTGGTGTTACAATTTGCCTAATTGTACTTAATATGTGTCTTCCAGCTACCTCAACGACTACGCCAACAACAACAACAACAACACCAAAACCAACAACAACCACAACAACCACAAGCACCACGACCCAAACTGTAACCACTGCTGCACGTGAGTGTCCTGAAAAAATGCTAAATAAAAATGGATCGTGTTATTTTTCTCTACCTGTCGTTTATTTCAGATTATTTTTTTCTCATACAGCGCCAATGTGTGGCAAAGCTCCCCTGAACAGCCGTGCTGCCGGGGACAGTGGTCGTGTACCTGGAGGGATGTGGCCCTGGATGGTTAGTCTCTACAAAAATGGGGTCTACACATGTGGAGGAACCCTGATATCTAAAAACTTTGTCCTCACTTCTGCCCAGTGCTTCTCCACGTAAGTATACAAGCGATTTTCGGTTTATAAAAGTTACATTTAGCAGTGAAATAATGCAATATGTTGCTCTTCATCCTCCTGACAGCTCAAATCCAGATAAGCGTGAGTGGAGAGTGTTGCTGGGCCCGCGCCTAGTGAATGGAAATGAGGAGTTTGTGATGACTCGGGGCGTTAAGAAAATTATTCTGAGCAAATTTACGGGCCTCAATATTGCTCTGCTGAAGCTGACTAAGCGAGCCAGCACAGGAGATTTTATCCAGCCTGTGTGTATGGATGTTAGCAAAGCCCGGAGCTTCCCTGTTGGAACTCAATGCTGGGTGGCAGGCTGGGATAAGGGCATCAAGAGCGGAGGTAAGCTTCTATCATGCTTTTTTGCTCACTTAAAAATCTGTATTATTCAGTAGATCTTAATACATTCATTTTTTCAGCCACTCAAAAAGCCGGCTCAGGTCTTCGGGATATAGAAACTCAAGTGGCAAGCTGTGGGACTGGGTCTGGTTCTGACAACATTTGCACTTATGCCATGAACCTTCAACAGGTAAATAAAGTTTTCAAATGTAGCAATCAGTTTTCCTTGTAATTGGACAGATGTTTTCAGTAACCCACTGATGATGATTCCTGTTTGTTTTTTTGCAGGGGGATCATGGCGGCCCTCTGCTCTGCAAGTCAGATGCCTCTTGGTTCCAGGTGGCCGTTGTATTCATGAGTGGAAATAAATCAGTCCGTGCTGATCTGCAGGTCTTTGCCAAAGCTTCAAGATTCAGCTCTTTCTTAAAGGAGACAGTTGGGGACATGCCGTCTCCAGCAACAGGAAATGCAGCAAGTTTCTCAATTTCATTAGTCCTCTCTCTCGCTGTCCCCATTACCTCACTGTTTCTGGTGTCAGGATGTTAGTTCTGTTGTGAAGTAGTTCATTGTTGCACTTAAAAGTTGAACAAATCATCCAAAGCCCCCATTCTGTAAATGCACTTAAGATACTAAGGTCACTTGTCCAAAGAAGTTAATATATTTATAACAAAAAATATATTTTATCGTAGTATGATACAGGGAAATGTATTTTTTAACAACGCACCTCGCTGAATCCGGTTAAATTAAGGACAACTTTGAAGTTCTAATATATTCTATATGCCGCTCTACCTCTTTCTACATGAAAATGTGGTGATGGGTCATGTGTGAGTTTACTAAAATGTTAAGACAAGTAAAAAGTCATTTTAATCACATGCATAATAAATACTGATGAAGCATAACAAATGTCTCTTTATATAACATACTTCGATCAATATTGCAGTTTCAATGTCAGCAGTTTAAATCAAATCAAATCAAATCAAGTTTTATTTATAAAGCACATTTAAAAGCGATTTTTGGTCGAGCCAAAGTGCTGTACATGTAATAAAAACACATTACTACAATCATAATAACAGTACAGTATGTGATGAACAACAGAATCCAGGGGATCATAATGTTCAAAATCAACATTAACAACAGCACAGCTTGCAGAAATATAAAAGGAATGTTTCATTTTAGACTTAAAAAGGACTTTTTGGATAAAAAATCTCATTTTGTAAAGCCTCTTGTCACATTACATCACATGGCATCACATCACACATCACACATCACACATCACATGGCACTAAATTCCACCCCGCCATTCAATTTAATCATTGCATGACTATGACCTTTTTTATGTGGTTTTCACCCCTTAATAAGAACCGATGTCTACTTGTAATTGTCACATGGTGCATGTTAATATATCAGGGATCTTTGCTAATTCAACTGTTACAATTGAATCGTGTAAGATTTTTTAAACTATATATACTTACAATTACCTCCTAAGTCTGATAATCATCAGAATGGTATGACGGATATTTCTTCCATGAAAAACATTTACATTCTAGATAATACCAAAAAGTTAAAAAATAAAGCACATCTTTGAGTTATGGTAACAGATAAACTCACACATACACACATGTTGAAACAGTTTGGTTGTTTTGCGGTCAGCTGCAACCAGCAAGCTCAATATTAAGAATGTATTAGAACTAAAACAGTGGGTCTCTGTGGGACATTCACTGATGATATATTTCTTATTCTGGTGCGGGTGCGCCTCCTTCGACCCCAGGATCTGCTGCATCTTCGTTAATCATCTCATTGTATTTGCTCTTGAAAAATCCAGCCTGAAAGTACGAAACAAATAACGTTACATAAAATGATGCAATTTAAATGAATGAACAGATAATAAACTGTATTTGTATAGCTCCTTTCATGCACAAAGCCGCCCAAAGTGCTTTACAGAAAACATAACAACAATATTAAAATAATATTAAAATGAATACAGAACAAGATAAAACATCTACAGTGATAATATGTTAAAATAAAACAATTTAAAAAAATAAAATGTAAAATAAAAGCAAAACAGAAAAGAAATACAGTAAAACATGGACAATGATACTAGTGACAATTGAAAGCTAACCCAAATTAAAAGCCATATTAAAAAGATAGATTTTTAATTTGCTTTTAAACATTTCAAGGGAGTTTGCTGTTCTAAGATCCACGATCATAAAGCAGATAAGAGAATGATGTAAAATATAAAAACTTTTAAATCCAGTTTATTTATTTTAAATGTGCGCAGAGACCACAACTCAAAATGGCCTGGTTGCATAATAATCTGAAACTATTTCAGATTGTAGTTTCCACTACAGCGCGCAGCCCGGTTTAAGAGGGCTGTGACGTCAGCGGCCCGTCTTTGGTTGCGTTTCCACTTGGCCTAGTACCGGCCGGCGGGTCCTAATTCACAGTTTTTCTGGCCTCATAAAATCGTGGGTCCAGGGCCAGAGACAACGAGGCTGAGTCGGGCTGAGTATGCTAAACTAGAGAGAGCGTCGCTGGCAAGGGGGCAACAACTACAACAAGATGGACATATTTGACCGTGATTTAATTGTAATACACGTTTCAAAATGATGCCGAAGTAACAACATACTGATACCGGTTAGTAAAAACCATGAATTAATGCTTTGTCAAGTCTGCAGACAGACGGCAGGCGAAAAACCTTTTAAAATGCGTGTTTTCTAAATGGAGATTGGCTAAGCTAACGCAGTATATGCTCCGACCGTCCACACTCACAACAACGGCCTATACAGACATAAATAAAGCAGCGACTGTATTCACCATGACACAGGCAGTCTGTGGTTTGTACTTGTTTAACTTTTGTCTAGTTTCTGAACATATATGAGGAGCTGTGAGCTCTGAGTGCTAACAGCTAACGGCTGTGTTGTTTTTCTGGGGTCCTCTGAAGATCACGTCACGGCTCCGCCTACACTGCGTTACTATAGATACTGCCCCAGTTCCTAAACTGTAATGGAAATGCGCCATAAAGTGAGCCAGTCCTAACGAGGCCCAGCCATACCGAGCGGGGCCGAGCGAGGCCGTGTAGTGGAAACGCGCCATATGTTCGAGCAGGGGCGGACTGGGACTACAAATCAGCCCGGGACTCTCGACCGGCCCACTTCGGTACCGCCGGCCCACCTCGGTAAATGATCAACGGGGGGGTGGGGGGTGCTAGTGAGTTATCCGAGCGGCCCACCTCGGTGCCGCAAGTAAATACCGCGAGGAAATTGTCGACGGGGGGGTGCTAGTGACTTATCCGACCGGCCCACATCGTCCGACCGGCCCACTTCAGTACCGGCCCATCGGGATTCGTCCCGAACGTCCCGATGGCCAGTCCGCCCCTGTGTTCGAGGTCTCACCTTATACAGGCCAGCGGTGAGTAAGGCCAGTAGAGCCAGTCCTCCCAGGGATCCTCCCACAATCTCTTTGGTGAAGTCTGGTTCAGGATACACTTCTACCTCTGCCTCAATCTGAGAGGGGAAAAGTCGGTTCAATTCAAGCTTGTTTAAAACACACATCATTTTAAAAGATAGTCACCTTGCGAACAGGAGGGTTGTTGTTGGAGCCTGATGTAAAGAAGATGTAATGGTTTCTGTCGTACTCCAACATGGCTGTGCTGGTCAAGAGGAATTTGGCCGATTGAAGTCCGATCTGTTTAGGGGGAAACATTTTTTAGTAAAATACTGATTGGGGAATAATTTTACCTCAGTTTAGCCAGCAACAGTAATTAAATGTGGATCAAATAGTTTGGGAGGATCGTTCCTGTAAAAAATGCGGTTCAGTAATCAAGTAGTCGGTTTTACATTTTGAATATTTTCATACATACAATATATGGAAAGTTTTTTGTTTATATTAATATAACACAGTATTAGGAATTTACAGACATTCAATGAAACTACCGCCAAGCTTGGCTTATGAGTTTATTTGCATTATTAAACTATCTTTATATAGACCAGGGGTTTTCAAAGTCTGGGAAGGTGAGCCTCCCCTCAGAGAACATGAGAACAGCCGCGTCCCCCCTCCCAATTATTATTGCTATCATTATTATTATTATTATTGTTGTTGTTGCTATAATGCAGGGGTATTCAATTGCATTTCAAAGAGGTCCAATAAGAGCAAATGTCATTAAATGCTCTGTTTTCGCTGTCTACCTTTCTCTTTTTTGAGCACGCCATTTGAAGTTACTCCAACTGTTTCTCTCTTCTTGTCTCGTCTCTGTGTGTTTGAATCTATCGTGCTGACTCACTGACTGCACCGATTTGAATGGCTGAGTAGCATCACCTCCTAAAAACATTAAAAAATAACTTTTTAAAACCTTTTTATCTTTATGTTTTAAATATGTGTTTTAAACATTTTTTACATTTTCAACATCGTGGATGAATCCTTATATGCTCCCGGCAACACACTGAACATCAACTTTGCCTCCTTATTACACTCACCCCTACTTTAGTGCTGGGAACAATGAGTCTGCGTCTTTGATGCGCACATGCGGGTGATGCGGGGATCAGAGTCCTGCGGGGATCAGAGTCCTGCGGGGATCAGAGTCCTGCATTGGGTCGGTACCCGACGGGTGACCCGCAAAAAAAGTGATTCGCGGGTGGTAAGTTTCCTCAGACCTCTCCCCGCGGGACCGCGCATAATCATAACCTCTGCACCGCATCAATCTGCTGCTGAGCGCGCCACATTCGAAATGGCTGAGGTGAAGCTCTAGCGGAGAATACAGCATTGTAAATAACTCTTCCTCAAGAGCGAAATCCAACGTCTGGGAGGCTTTTGGTGTCATGGAGAAAATAACCAACATCCCACGCTTTTTGAGCCAAATACGCAACTGCGTGTGTTAATAATTGCATGTTTTCAGTGCTCCTAGGATATGCGGGTTCGGGTCGGTTTGCGGATCTTGTGCCGACGGGTCGGGTCGGTTTGCGGAACTAATTGGCAATATGTGCGGGTGGCGGGGCGGGTTCGGTATTGCACGTTGCAGGTGCGGGGCGTGAGCGGGTCTTGAAAATCAGACCCGTGCAGGACTCTGGCGGGGATGCAATGTAGACAGGAATAAACGCAGATCAGCCTCTGGCTGCAGCCTTGACCGGTACTTGCTTTTGATCAAAGTCAATGCGGAAAACCCGCACTCACACCGGTAGGTGGAGGTGAAGGGTATGAGCACTTTTACAACCTTTTTGGCGAGGTGGGGGAACTCGGTCTCCACAGACAGCCAAAAGTGTGCAAGTGACACTTTACTCATCTTGTTCTCGTTACTTTTTTTTCTCATGCTGCGCCTCCCCTGAAGCTCTCTGGCGCCCCCCCAGGGAGGCGCGCCTCACACTTTGAAAACCGCTGATATAGACAATTATCTTTACTACAGCGTATTTGAGTTATACACAGTAGGCTACATTAGTTTAATTTGTATGGTAATTTAAAAGCATTTGTAACAGTCTCAAAAAACATCAATAGTGAAGCAATCACTGAGTTCATATTCATTTCATAACGTTAAGTAAACGGTGATCAGCATGAGGAATAAAATACTTTTTAAAATTAATAATGATCTGCTTTTAGTAATCCTCTTT